AAACATAACAAAATAGAAACAGACACAGAGATACAAACTGGTGGTTTCCAGAAGGGAGATGCGAAGAGTTGAGTGAAATAGGTAAGGGAGATTAAGAGCTAAAAACTTTCAGTTTAAAGTAAATAAGTCAGCACAAGGAATACTAATAGTACTGTAATAACTTTATATGGTAATAGATGATAACTAGACTTACTATGATGCATGTTTTGTAATTTTGTAATATGTAAATATATTGAATCACTATGCTGTACACCTAAAACAAATATACTATCGTTAAGTCAATTATACCTCATTAAATAAAAACACTTTTTAATTTTAAAATTAGAAAGAATAATTCAACAGTAAAGAAATAATAATAGTAAAAGAAATAATATAACTGAAACAACAATGACAGAAAACAGAAAAAGATTAGCAAACAGAACGGTTATAACCCTTAACAATCTGAAAATGATCCAACAGGTAAATTATTTAAACACATTTATTATGTTAGAAGAAGTAACAAAAGTGTATTACTTCCAAACTGTAATATAATTTGTCCTAAAAAGAATGGTCAACTGCTTAACAACAGAAATTCTTACACTAAGAAGTATAGTTCTGATAACTGTACATTTTAAAAGGTCACAAAGAAAATGAAAGGGACTCAGAAAAGCAGCGGAAAAATTTCTAGTGGTCTGATGAATCAAGATTACAGTCTGTTTCTAAACTAGAAATTGAAACCTTTTATAATTTTCAAAAAGTATAAAAAGCATTTATAAATGTGCAAAAAGGTATAAAAGCAAATATATGAGGTGAGATGAAAAACAGGTTAATGCTTATTAAGCTAGTCTTAAAAGCTTGGCCTATCAGCCAGTCTTTTACAAGGTAGGCACTTGACTGTTTATCTGTAAGTGTGTGCATGCATCCACATACATGCATGATTTCTTTTTTAACCCATTTAATCCTAACAACAACCTAGCAGGGAATTACTATTATCCTCATTATTCACATGTAGAAACTGAAGGGAAGAGATAGAGTTAAGTATCTTGTCCAATCTTCCATGGCTTCAAGGGACAGATCTGAGACGCAGACAAGCCTGCCTTAGAAACATTAAGAAACACTTTCGCTCTAGAAGATGTAACTCTTAAATTGCATCATAAAAATAAAACCTTAGTTTAATTTAAAAAAAAATTTCTTCCATAAATATGCCAAATCCAGATAGATGTAACATAAAAACAATAATGATAAACCACAATGCTTCTAACATTTTAAGCACTCACCTGCTTTCTTAATAAGACTAGGGGTAGCCCCAAATAACCCAAGTATCCCTGTTAGAATTATGCCTTTATAATTCCAGGTGATCTATAGCTGCCACTTGTAGGACTTAGGCTTAAATTATTAGTTTTAGCATGAATCAATAAAACTGTATGTGAATGCTGTAAGAATCATAATTTAAAATTTCAAATAAAATATAAAGTGTAAATTACTGTCATTCTACACACAGCGATATTAGGGATGGAATTCCCGCCAGGAGAATCCCCATAGACAGAGGAGCCTGGTGGGCTACAGCCCATGGGGTCACAGAGAGTCAGACACGACTGAGCAACTAAGCAAAGCACAGAACAAAGAACAAAGGGCCAAGAAAAAGGAGAAGGTGAGTCTCCTCTTATTTCACCTTTGATGGTTTGCTTTAATGCTTTTCTTCCCATCAATAACTTTTAAAAAAATCACTGATGGAAAAGGAAATGGCAACCCACTCCAGTATTCTTGTCAGGGAAATCCTATGGACAGAGGAGACTAGCAGGCTCCATGGGGTCACAAGATTCGGACATGACTTAGTGAGTAAACAAAAACAGCAAAACAAAATCATGAACAATCAAACTGACAAAACTGATAAAGAGGAATAATTGCTATATATACCTTGTTTAGACTCATTTCCTTCTTTGTATCCCACTCCTATGCTTATCACCTTCTAACAATGTGCAGGCCAAAATGAGCAATCAGAGCTCCTTTAAGCACTTTTAAGAACTTTTTGTTTAAAAAAAAAAAGTAAAAAAGTTTTCCTGACACTCACAGAGTAAGCTGCTTTTTAAAGGGGGCTGACTCAACATTGTCAGTACCAGCGTGAGTGAAGAGAAACTGAACTCCTGGCCAAGAGATATTAACTTAGATGGTAGGAAGTTGTCTTCTAAGAAGTACAAATAATTCTGCACTGCATGAGAGATATATATATGACTTGATTTACATTTTATAGATTGCTAGAAGAAAAATCAATACCCTCAGATATGCAGGTTATGTCACCCTTATGGCAGAAAGTGAAGAAGAACTAAAGAGCCTCTTGATGAAAATGAAAGAGAAGCGTGAAAAGATTGGCTTAAAACTCAACATTCAGATCACGGCATCTGGACCCATCATTTCATGGCAAATAGACGGTGAAACAGTGGAAACAGTGACAGACTTTATTTTGGGGGGCTCCAAAATCACTGCAGATGATGACTGCAGCTATGAAATTAAAAGAATACTTCCAAGCTTACTCCTTGGAAACAAAGTTATGACCAACCTAGAAAGTGAAGAAAGTGAAGTCGCTCAGTCGTGTCCGACTCTTTGTGACCCCATGGACTGCAGCCCACCAGACTCCTCCATCCATGGGATTCTCTAGGCAAGAATACTGGAGTGGGTTGCCATTTCCTCCTCCAGGGGATCTTCCCGACCCAGGGATCGAACCCAGGTCTCCCACATTGCAGGTGGATGCTTTAACCTCTGAGCCACCAGGGAAGCCCCTAGACCAACCTAGACAGCATATTAAAAAGCAAAGACATTACTTTGCCAACAAAGGTCCATCTAGTCAAGGCTATGGTTTTTCCAGGAGTCATGTATGGATGTGAGAGTTAGACTATAAAGAAAGCTGAGCACCAAAGAATGGATGCTTTTGAAGTGTGGTGTTGGAGAAGACTCTTGAGAGTCCCTTGGACTGCAAGGAGATCCAACCAGTCCATCCTAAAGGAAATCAGTCCCAAGTGTCCATTGGAAGGACTGATATTAAAGCTGAAACTCCAATACTTTGGCCACCTGATAGAAAGAACTGACTCACTTGAAAAGTCCCTGATGCTGGGAAAGACTGAAGGCAGGAGGAGTAGGGGACGACAGAGGATGAGATGGTTGGATGGCATCATGGACTCAATGGACCTGAGTTTGAGTAAACTCCAGGAGTTGGTGATGGTCAGGGAGGCCTGGGGTGCTACAGTCCATGGGGTCGCAAAGAGTCGTACACAACTGAGCGACTGAACTGAACTGAACTGAACATTTTATAGACACCTCTTCAAAAGTAAGAAACAGATTTCCTAATTAGTATTAGTTTATGCTTAAACTTAACCCACTCCAGTGTTCTTGCCTGGAGAATCCCAGGAACAGGGGAGACTGATGGGCTGCCATCTACCGGGTCACACAGAGTCGGACACGACTGAAATGACTTAGCAGCATGCTTAAACTTAATATCTTACTTTGAACTCTTTTGAATTTTCCCATGGTTTAGAGAATTTTACATGTGTAATTTTGACATGGTGGAAAAAAGAATGTCTCATGTATTCTACTGTCACTAAATTTAGCACAAATTTACACTTCCATGCTCAGTAAATGACCAGTGAGTAAACGTTGTAGACAGCAATAGATATACAAGTAAGGTAAAACCAGTAATTTACTGTTTATTACAGAAGACATCTCAGTTTTTCTGTGGCATTTTTGCACAAATAAGTGACTTTATATTCACTTTGGCCTTTTTTTTCTCAAGTAACCTTGTAAGCTGCTCCTTCATTTTAATATAGGAATAGTAGGAATATAGAGACGTTTTCCATTTTGCATGCTGGGTTGGACAGTAACTCGGTAGAATTTGGACTGTGGGACGTGCATCACTTGAATTTTTATATCTTGTATAGCCCAATCTTTAATATAGGAAATCACCATATTCTTATTATCCAGTACTTTAAGGGCCTGTGTATAACATTCTATTTCATTTATCCCAGGTATATTTTCATCCAAAACTCTTTCAAAGGTATATCTTGAAGGTGCTTCTATAAAAGCAGCACTACATGTATTCATTAAGTGATCTAATATTCCTAAAATAGTTTTTATCTTCTCTTTTTCCCCTCTAAATACTAAATTTTCATAGAGCCTCTCTTTATTTCTTTGAGTTTTACTTATTTTCCATCTCTTTTCATTGCTGCTGCCAATGTAAAACTTCTCTTTTGCTGGCGGAAAAAAAAAGCTTTATTCTGAATTTTAATATTTGAATTTTTTGTATCATGTACCACACATCAATTAGGCTCAATAAAGTTGCCATTTTGGACTAGAGGTATCCTGTCAAGAGCTTGCCAAGTAGTCTCATTTCTTCCTCTAAGAGCAGCAAATTTAGTGATATATCTGCCCAAGGGATATTTTGCCCCAACATTTGTGTGTCTCATCAATAAATAAAATGGGTCTTCTATGTCAGAAATACTGTGAATGGAAAATTGTCAAATCCTTTCTTGTATATTTTAAACACCCCTACAACACTTTATCTCCCTGTCTTTAATGGTTTCTAAACATATGGCCAAGTTTGATCTGGGTTTGATTTCTTTGGTAAAGAGGATGCCATCAAAACAATTCTAAATAAACGTCTGAATACAAGGCTAGGTTGAAATGTCAAAGACTATGTTGCAATTTGGTTTGAATGTACCAGAGTGAGCAATTATGATTTGCCTAAGAACAACACAACAACTCATAATGTATATTTTGCTTTTTTCTAACTGAAGACATTCACGTGTATATTTTAACCTCAGATGTATTTTAAAAAAATAATAAATGACTGTATCAAAATTCTTCCAATAAATTTGTTAAAAAACAAAAACAAAAAAAGAAAGAAAATCATTGATAAAATTCCAAAGACCAAAATTCTCAAACATCCTAGTTAGAAAGAAAACGAAGAGGGGAAAAAAAAAAAACCAGCAAAAATGGCTAAAAGGAAATGCAAAATGAAACATAAGACATACCTGAGACACATCATCAAGTTGAAGTTTCGCACAAAGGCTAGAGAGACTCTCTGCTCGCATGAGATATTCTGCAGTTCTTCTCTTCACAGCTTCTCGCCGGGTGGGACTTGACTCTCCTAAAAGGAGAAAACAAAAGTCAGGACATGTGAAAAGCAAACTTTCTTTCACGCAAACTGAAGATTAACTTCCTTTTACCCAATTTACCACCTGTTCACATCTCTAATTGAAAAGACGAGAGAGATCAAAATTGGAACAGACATCAAAGCTACTAATATCAGCAAGGTCTAAATATTACCCAGATAAGTTGCATTTATCTAAATTCTGAAATTCCCATATTTAAATATACATAGAGAACTTGATGTATTGTATAAGAGGAATCAATATATAAAGAATGTGATATAAAAAGCTCTGTGGACAAAAGATTAGGCTAGTCCAGACAGTATAGAGTTGTCCAACCCAACAAATAGCACCAAATGGAAGAGATGTTTAGTAAGAGCTGTGACATGGATGTGAGATGGTGTGCAAGTACCACCAAACTGGAGAATAAAAGTATTCAGGGCAACTCTAATATTTGCAAGTGTCATGGTTAATTCATTAATAACAAATTGTCACCCGCCTTACAACTGAACACAAGAATGTAACTTCATTTCTTATAACATATAATTATCTGAAATTGAAATAGGGTCACTACCCTGTCTGGCTCTCAGTTTCCCTAAGGGAAGGGTATTCAAAGCGGCTTCTAATGAACTCAGGATCTCAAAGAGAAGGCGGTCCATTCCTGGATCTCTCCTCTCCAGAGCAGGATGATCTGACGCTTTTATCCATTTTATATACTCGACTATAACATTTCATCTGAAGAAAGGATTCTAGGGCTGAAAGTCAAAAAGTTTGACACCACTGTACTATACGATGTCTAAGGTTCCTTTCATAAATACTATTCAATACTGTGCATGACATTTTTATCAAAGCACTTAATAATACATAGTACTGTTTTTATAATTCACCTTATGCACCTTCTGAATGAAGCCGTTAACCAAATGTAATATCACACAGTGGAAAGTACTCCAGATTACCTCCCAGAAACCCTGGTTATTTGAATTCTGGCCCTGCTTCTCATTAGTCATGTGTCCGATAAGTCATTTCAACTCTGAACCTCTTCCTCAGATTGATTCCAGCTTGTGTTCACCAACCCTGAACATGGTTTGAATGAAAGCTTCTCCCTTATTTCAGATCTCAGCCCCTCCAATCACTACTTGTTAGCCAAGGGTGAGCCTCCCTGTACAGCAGAGCCAATCAGAACCCCACCCTCCTGGCCACAGCTGGAGAAGGGAGGAGTTGACCCAACACAAACTGGGCCAATCTTCATGGCAGGAGGATTCTTTACCACTGTGCCACCTGGGAAACCTTCAGTGTAATTAACCTCTAATAAAACTTCAAAATATTACTTTCTCAAAAGAAAAAAAAATTAATTTGTCTCACAAAGTAATCTGAAATTCAAAAACGTCAAGACTATAAAACACCTATTTAAAGCTAAAGGTAAAACCCTATTTTGTAATCAAATTGCTGCTTTTTAAACTTTTGGTATTTCTGTCGCTTTCTAGGCAGTCACCATAGTAACAGAGAAAAAAGAACCGGAAACGAGCAGTTGAAATGGACTCCTGCTGCTGATAGTGGTTCTGCTTCCATGGAAACAACAATGAAGTGATGGAAACGCTGGAAGGCTTTTTAAATGTAACTTTAAATATACATACTAGGACTCCTTCCTTATCAGCCCCTTAAAAGTAGGTCACAAGCACGACTGGTCAACAGCAGCAGCCAGGGATGAGAACCACCTCTCGCAGATCACTGCTGCAGGATACTTGCTGAGGTTTGTGAGTCCCAGAAAGAAAAGATCAATCTATCAATATCCAGAGTAAGTCCAACTAACCACATTATTTATAAATGTGACTTTAAACAGATTTTACTTAATCAAAACTTTCGACTTTTACCTTCTTAATTTCCTAACCTTCCTTTTAAGACACACACAAAACTTATGATTATTTTTCGGGGAGACCAGGCTACCTGGAATTTTACTACTAACCCCATACGAGGTCATGTGACTATTATTTCTTCAGTAATATATCTATAAATGCTTTAAAAAATGGATACATATTTAACATGCTACCTAGAAATAAACCAATACCTTCAGTAAGTTCTCTACATTTCTTGATCATTCAGAACAAGAATTTCTACTGTGCTTTTGCAGTCAAAACAGAAAAGCTGCTTCCACTATTTCTTTAACAACCGTTAGGTCAAAAAGTTCTGGTGTCCAATAAAAAGTCACAAAGTTAACTTAACCTAAACCTAAACCAGGTCTTATGCTACCACACTTCACATAATCAAATTTGAATTAGATTATTCTACTATTACTGAGTAGAACAAGAAAAATACAGAGCACAGGGCAAGTACAATACAAGCAAGTATGGGAACAAAGATGAGGAGAAAATAAATGTAAGGAGTTGAGGTAGGAGCCTGAATCAGAGAGAAGGAAAGAGACTGAAGAAATCAGACAGCACACGGTGAAATCACAGCTATGAAGAGGTATCTACATATCACACTATGTAAAAGAGAATGGGCCTCTAGGAGAAAAACTGAGCTCTCAAACATCCTTCTTGCCCAAGGATTTCTTTGGAAAACAAAGGCCACTCATTTATCTGTTTTTTTTTTTTTTTAAAGGCATTTTTATTCACAGAAATAATGAAAATCAGTTTCAAGAACTAGAAAAGTTGATTCTTCCAGTTCTATTATTCTACCCTTGGACACTAAAAAAGAATATAGCTAATGCCTCATCAGTGATTCAACAAAAGGAAAGCAATGCTAAAGGAAGAAGTGACCACGCTGAACATTTTTTACAATAATTCTGTGTGTTTACTGCTGGCTGTGCTGGGTCCTCACCGCCGCAGGGGCGTCTCTCTAACTGCAGGGAGCAGGGGCCCCTCTCCAGCTCTACCGCGTGGGCATCTCTGGGGGGTGGCTCCTCCCGTTGAGGAGCGCAGGCTCTTGCGCCAGGCTCAGCAGATGTGGCGACAGGCCTGGCAGCTCCGCCACATGTGGGATCAAACACGTGTCTCCCCGCACTGGCAGGCGGATTCCCCACCACTGAGCCACCGGGGAAGCCCCACGTTAGACTTCTGGAAAGTCAGTGGGTCTACATTTGTACTTTATGGGGAATTTTAGGGGATCTTCAAGAGCATTGTGATCATATTTGATCATCTTCACATGCACAGAATTTAATTCCCATATAAGACTGTACTTAATCACACCTTATATTCTGATCTCTACTCCTCTACTCCACACTATCCAACAGGCTCTATGCCACATTACTCTTGGTCAAGGGTGTCTGGTTTTCATTCAAATTTATCAGATAAGAAAGAACATCCAAATCAACTTGGGTTTGCTGCAATAAGTTTTTGTTTGTTAGTGATTCTTTCTTTTTTTAAAAACAACTTCAGTCATGTAAAAGAATATGCCTATTTGAGATGGCCTTGGTGGTGAGAGTTTTTTTTTTAAGTGCTGATTTATTATATTTAATGGGTTCTTTTTTGTTCTTTTCAGGGAAAGCCTACCATTTCTGACTTATGCTAAGTGTTCTGACAACAAAAGGCAACCTTGAGAAGAATTTTAATTTATGGTTCTACACACGATTCACAAATATGGAGCCATCAGCCTTTCCATGAATAACACAAACCTGGTCAAGAAAGGGAATCTGCTTCCCATTTGCATTTAACCAACCTTCTATTAATGTTTTTTCTAAACTCAACGTGATGTGAACCCTAGAAGTTCAAAGAGTCAGCAAAGAAGAGTAAAAGCAATAGTCACAGTAACATTCACGCCAGGCACTGCCTCGATTATAACTGCTTTCAATGTTGTTTCGCAGCTTTTCTGTCCTCAAAAAAAAGAAACAAGCAACCCAAAATGGAACCACCTGAGCTAAGCCCATGTCACCAAACCAAGACTTAATACCTAACCTAACTAGTTTCAAACTTCCCCAGGACTGGAATCTTAACCAGTCAGTCTGGAATTTCCTGAGCAGCACCAGGGGGTAACTGGCCAATAAATATTTTTGTCTCCCAAAGGAAGGTGCCTTGCTCAAACAATTCTTTTCTGTTTACGACTTCCTTGTCCCATCCCCTCTCTGGTTTTAACAACCTCTCCCTTCCTGGAGTTGCCTGGAGCTCCTTTCTGCTTGCTGGATGGGAGGCTGCCTGGTTCATGAATCAACTAATAACGCCAACTGGATCTTCAAACTTACTCAGCTGGATTCTTTTAATAGATAGGGAGTCAGTGTTGGGATCCAAACTGAACAAACTTCTGATGGCATTCCAGGACAAGACAGACAGGTTTGGTACCTGTGGAGCGCTTTTTGCGGTTGCTATCTTTCTTACCCCTTTCTCTCTGCATCAAGCTCCACATCTGATTGGCTTTCCTTTACAGAGCAAGACAGCTTGAGATGATGGACACTTTTGCCTGGAACTCAAATCCCTCACTTTATTATAACTTGTAATTTCCAGGTTTTTGAGCAGAACTCTCAGCCCTTAACTCTGTCCCAAGATTCACTTAGGAACTGTTCATGGTAATATGCAGTTCCCTATTTACGTGGGACCCCCAGTCCACTGCCCTCATTTATTGAGATCTGCTAGTTTAATCCTTTCCCCAGTCCAAGGTTCCACATTGGGGCATTGGTGTGGTACACACAGGACCTCTTCCTGGCTGGAACTTAGTTACCTTAAGCTACATTTTTTGGGGGGGTCATATTTTATGTAGATAAAGGCTAAATATGCTAGTAATATCCCAAAATTCAAAACAGCCTCAACATTGATGGTTAAGGATTAAGAATTTAAGATCTGTTAGAACACCTCTCCCGAATTAGGATAAGCTGGTCACAGAACGGGGTACTGACACTCAGTCACCTACTAACCTTAAGAAAATTTCCAAGCACAGAGGCAGACTGTAAAATACTACAAAATCCCCAATGCTATGATATACCCCTCTTAGGTATCTGTTTGGCTCCAAGAGATCCAAAGGCTTAGCTAAAATAACAAAAATAATAATGGAATCTTTAAAATCCAGAGTTAAGCAAACCCTTCTGACATACCTGCTGATTTTATGTCTAACAACTATAATCCTGGAAATCTACAAAAATGGCAAAAATCTTACTAAAAACCACCTAGAATTATGATGGCCATTATGGGGAACTTTGCAATTAGACAAGATCATTCACTTGAGATGCACACTTAAGAGCAACCCAATTAAATTACAAACAGAAGGGGATACATATCTTAATTGGTATGCAGAAGCTTCCAAAGGCTTCAAAATGCCAAAAGAACTTTAAAGTTTCATTACAAAAAACTAATAAAAAATTACAGACACAAGAGTTACCTAAAACAAAGGATTGTAAGACAGACACAACTCACACTGCCCCCTCTGCCTCCCTTTATCTAGTACTCATTCCAGCCGTCCTCCGTTTGAACTGTCTTTCTACTCTAAAGAGGCTACAGCGCCAGAAACAAAAGTCTATCGGGTTAATGGCCTTAAAGGTACCCCCACATAGCTCTGAACCAAGGACCCTGTAAAGACCCCTCTCAGAGATAATGAGACTGAGGATTTTCTGGTAAACTACTACATCATCCCCTTAAACAACCAAGGGGAAGCTAAAATCAAAAATTAATTTAAAAACCTTGATAAATTCTGGTAAACATCAGAGATACATTCTTTCCTCTTAAACCCCACTTAGAACCTGCAGACAGGATCTTAGGAAAAAACTGGCAGAAGTTAGCTAGGGTAAGAATTATTACAACTCTCCTGGATCTCTGTCTGTAATACCCAATAAAGAGAAAAATATGTTTCCACCCCATTAGGGGATGCCTCTTAAGTCCAAAGGGTTGTTCACTACTATCAGAAATATTTACTGTTTATTCAAGCTGAAAACTGATAAGATTTTATTTTAAAAATTTTAAGCAGTTCTGTGGTCAAAAGTTGGCCAAACTGGAATCTGATATACAGAACCTGGTAAGAACTTTTAAAGGCCTCACCCCTAAACTAAAATGATGTACCCAGCAGTAAAGAAAAACCTTCTAAAGCCCTTAAAAGGACTTATGGGTGGATCAACCAATGATGTCATTTAAGTAGCCACCCAGTTCCTTGAGTAATTGAGAGCTCAGATGGTAAAAGTGTCTGCCTGCAATGCCCAAGACTCGGGTTTGATCCTTGGGTTGGGAAGATCCCCTGGAGAAGGAAATGGCAACCCACTTCAGTATTCTTGCTGGAAAATCCCATGGACAGAGGAGCCTAGTGGACTATAGGCCATGGGGTCGCAAAGCGTCAGACACGACTGAGCCACTTCACTTCACTGTCCTTATCCTACAAATCTCTGCAAGACTAGAAATGCAGCTCAAGGCAGTCCAAAATTCACCTATTCCTTATTCCAATCCCATAACCTCCCCTATTTACCTTAAAAGTCTTATAACTTGCATTTTTTTCTTATGCCTTTGGGATGTAAATATTAATGTACATCAGAGAGGTAATTCTTATCATTAAAAAAAAAAAAATACGGGAGGGGGGACCTGGGGGTGGGTCATTTGGAACTTAAAACAATTGAGAAATCTTAAGTGTAGAGAAGCTATGCAGTCCCGTTCGCGCCTGTCTATACATTCACATGTGCCTATACCTGTGTTATAGATATATTTTCTACTTCTGGATAGTACAGCCAAAATGAATTTATAGAAGAGCTCTATTTAATTGGCCTACAAAAAAATTAAATACTTATATAAATCATGTATCCATAATATTCTTTAAAAAAATAAGAAAAATCAACCACAATGCTTTTGAGATTCACATGATCTGAGATAACATTTAGTAAATAAGATTGTTTTAAGTTTGTTGATTTAATTAAAACAGACACATCTTTAAAGTTATTGATATTAAAAATAATCAAAGTATACACCTTTCATTCAACCCAGGTTCACTAAAGATCAAACAAGTTCATGTTATCCAATACAAATTTTGTCAGCAAGAAAAATGGCTTAGAATGAACACTGACATTGTCTAATGTCTCATGAAGCTTCTGTGGGCAGCCTAAGCATAATTGTTAAAAACAAGTAAATTAAATAGATGTAAGGAGGATAATGTTTTTAGGTGAACTTTCTAATCATGTCTCCAAATCTTTATGGCAACCTGAAATTCCATTAAGTTAAATGACAGTCATTAAATATCTAGATCATTTCCAAACAAGGTAGAGCACCAAAATATTAATTACTGAACACAAGTTTATTTAATTTGGGAGTTTTTTATATAGAAATTAAAGGCATTTTGTTCTCTTAATAAGCATGTTTTTGCCACACTGAGAAACTATAAGAAAGCACATTTCTAAAATTTAAAAACTATTTATCTGCCAATCCACAAGATGCTAATGTGAAAGATAGTTCATAATTGCTTACTTCCCAGTTTTCACTAGAAACAAGTTTTCTAAACAATTTTAAAAACAAGGTTTCTAAGGGTTAAAAAATTCTAACATTGATAATTAAAACTACTAGAAATAATAAGGAAAAGGAATTGTATGTGTTATCAGGACTGGCTAAGATTGGAATGAGTCTGATTAAGTTTTAATATCAAAAGTAAGCTGGTATAAAATTAGAATTGACTTTCTCCCTGTTGAAAGGGACAAAGCTTTCTTAGACTATTGGTCTGCTTTTGACAGTCACAGATTATAAAAGGTTCTTCTTTACCTTTTCAACAATCTGCCAGGGAGGAGGTGGGGGACACAAAGATCTTATGCTTTGTCAAAATAAGCACCTATGTTCCTGTTGCCTGTATCAGATCTTTGACTTCTTAAACCCAGTCCTCTCAATATTAAAGAGCTAAGTATCATTTAGAACTATATAATCTATATTTGCCTGTAAAGTCTTTGCCACTATGGTTAATTAAATACACAAGTATTGTTTCTCAGTGTCCTATGACCCTATGTGACCAAGTGTTTTTAAACCTTTTAATATTTTTGACAAACTTCCCAAAAATCAAATTCTAAAAGAAGTCTTTTTGACCTCAAACTAACTTTGAGATTCTTTTGGGCCCCAAGCATACTGCAAAAGATCCATTCTCTCGTCTCATAAAAAGATAGATGTTAAACTAATTAGACTTATTTGATATGTTAAATTACATGTGAAGAAGCATTGAGAAATAAAAATATTAAACTTTCTTTAAGTTGTATTTATATAGGTATATAGGTATTTTTAAAATTATATGAAGTTTCTAGAAATCTGATATATGTTACTATCTGGTAATGTTGTGAGAAAACATTATAATACACATAGTGATATTTTATTTATAATAGCAACAATAATAACTGATAATATTATCAGTCATAATTCTAGTTATTGTCTTAGAGTGCTATGTATCATAGAAATAACCAAATTTCCCTGTCACTACACTGTAATGAATTCTAATCAGATCTTTAACCATGGCATTTTAAGTCTTTTGACATTTACAGACAGTTATTGCTTCACTCTGAGGTTTTTCCGAAAGCGTTCCTAAAAAGTGTTCTTTCATCAGAGAAATTTCTAAAAAGCATTGACAGGTACTCTAAGATACAAGTTTATGGTAACTTTCAGATCATAATACCAACTGGGTAAGAATTTATAGAACTCTAAGGAAAAACTAGATTCATAAAACTGCTAAAGAAAGATGAAGATCAAAAACTGCATAGGACTGAATGAACTGATAAAGATGAGTATAATTTTTTACCATTTTTTTGTTTAAAACATTGCTAATTCTTTTGTGTTTTGTCTTTCCAGGTTTAAGGAAATTCTCTTTTCTCTTAAAAGCTTTCAGCAATTTGGTAATAAACATTAATGAACTAAAGTGAAACATTTACTTTTTCTCCTTGATCTCATCAAAATTCAGAAATTCTTGGTATTCTTTTCATTGTAATAAATTTCACTATTTGCATAAGTTCAATAAGAATCTGTTCTCATGGTACCAGAACACAATTGGAAACACTGGCTATATCACAAAGGCTTTAAATAGAATGTCATATTTGAGAGAAATGTGTATAGACCCAGATATGACCAGACAGCTTGGAAAA